GGGTAAATAAAATTAAAATTTAATCTATTAGGAATCGGAGATTAGTGCTCAAATAAATATAAGAGAGCGAATCTTCTCGAGTAAACCAATACTACAAGTATATATCACGTGACAGATAAAAAATTATAAATATAACCCGAATACGATAAAAAAATTTTTGGGGGAATGTTCAGAATGATCAGAATGATCAGAACGATCAGATAATATCAATAAGATATGATCTTATAAAATTTTTATACGAAAATCATTGCCGTTTTAGTCTAAAAGGAAATGTGGCGGATCACGGGTAAAAATGCAACCAATTAATAAGATGGCTAAGATAATCATAAACTTTATAAGAAATGATCTGCTGCATGCTGATAAAGAAATATTGAAGAGGGGTTAATTGGTGTAATTAGTAGAGAACTACTAATTTTGAATAGTTAAAAACGTGGGTAGTGTGGTCTAAAAATAGTTAATATTGCACAGAAAACGCCTATAGGTTTTTTGGTAAAAAAAGAACTTTAGAAAAAAAAAAGAAAAACTTAGTGGAGTTTAAGAGGTTTTTTAAGTGTATTTCTGTCAGTTTTGGGTCTACAAACTTGAAATTTAGCTTGTTATTATGGGAATGGTAAGCTCTTTAAGTTGTTTTAAGTTCAGGAAGCAGGTTTAGATAGCCGTTTTAGAGCTATTAAATAAAGTGTAAGAAAAAAGGCCAAGTGACCATTTCTCGGTAGTTTTAAAAGTTTTTAGTATAATATTTGAGTATTATATATATTTATTTATTAAGAATAAGTTTATTTAGTAGCAAAACTAAGTTTAACTTAGTAGAAAATAAAATTATAAGGTATTTTAAAATAATTAGGCTGGGAAAAATTTGTGTATAATTAATATAAAATAAGTAATTAAATTTAATATTATTACATAATTTAATATTAAATAAGCAATTAATTTTATCATTTATTAATTACTATACTAATTTTAATTTTTTTTTATTCAAAATATAATTTAATTTTTTTATTTATTTTTGCTATAACACAAAATTTTACTAGTAAACTTGTACCAGATATACTAATGAAAAATGATTTTTATACAATTTTGACTCTAGCTTCAATTTTAATTTTAACTTTACTTGTATATATATAATATGATTTTATAATTAATATCTTTATATTATATTATAAAAAGTAAATAATTTATTTAATTTTTAAAATATAACCAAGTACTTATTAAGTACTTATTATAAGTACTTATTAAGCATTTTATTATAAGTGCTTATTAAATACTTGTTAAATATTTATTAAGTACTTATTATAAATACTTATTAAACAAATTTCAATATACCTTATATCTAGTGAGTACTTGCAACAAGTACTTAGCAAGTACTTGCCAAGTACTTGGCAAGTGCTTGGTTATACTTTGTAATGATACTTGGAAAAGAAATTAGTGACTTATTCTCTTATACAATTTTCTATATGCCTTGGGCAAGTATTATTCATAAATCACAATAATATTGTCTTGCTAATTTTTACATTATTTTTTCTTATAATAGATTATAAAAATTGGTGCATATTTACAACAGAGTTTATTAATATATAAAAATATCAATAATAAATCAGCAATTGTTTTAACAAGTTACAATACTAACTTTAAATTCAAAACATAATATATAACCCTATAAAATGACTTTGCTAGTAATTAATTATAAGTTATAAATTAAACAAGTGTAATTTTTGTGAATATGATCCTATTAGCTATTTAAGTTGTATAAAGGAATTTATTCTTTCTGTGCATGTACAATTTGGATTTGGATAGAGTTATTTCAAAAGAGTAAATTCATTATATGCTTTATTGAAATTGTATTGGTGATTATCAATTCAAAAGAAAGTCAAGAATATTCAACCAAAATTTTTATATTTCTATAGTTCCAGAGTGAATTATAACCAATTTATGAACCTTGTTTAATCATGGTATGCTACTCGGACTTGGTTTTTTGAAGCAAGACTGTACCTGAACAGAACTTTACATTTTAAAATTAAAATTTATCTTAAGAATTTAGGCTTGCATGTGTTATTTTAACCTGATTGATTTAGTTCATACAATTCAATATTGAGGGAATTTCTAATAGTGAAATTTTGAAAATAATTCAAATCATATAATGTTGACCGAATCATGAATTTAATTCTCATAGTCAGAAAATAAATTCTAAAAATTTTGTGTTATTCAAAAAATAATTTGACCATCTAAAAAAACAACCTTGATTCAAATTTATTAATATTTTTAACAATCAACACTAATAAGTTTAGGTATAAAGTTAAAATCAACTTTTTTTAAACTAATAATTAAACAAAACAACCCAAAAAAAAAATTCTATAAAATTTTGGCATGATATAGCCCTATTTCTGTCATGATTATAATCTAATGTACATAAAAGTTTGAGCAATAATTTAATAAATATCAAATACGTTATCAGACCCAAAATCGGCAAGTCTGTCACTAAATTGAAAGATAGGTCTGTATAACCAAACCTTAGGTTACTTTAGGGCTGAAAGAGGCATGTTATATTTGGTCAAGTGGTTTATTATAGTTTGGGCAGAACCAGGGTTTATTATATGAGGCAGAGTTCGTAACAAAGGTGTATTGAACATTAGATTCGATATATGAAACTTAGAGGTGTATAAATTTTAGTAAGAGTAATTAATCAATTTATGAAGTGTATAGTTTTATTAATAGTGATAATATGATATAAGAGATAATTGTATGATAAAAGTGATTTAATAAAGCAAAGATGGGAGTTCTCTTTCCCAAGGGCTGAAAAGGCCTTTATTTATAATTGATAATTTGTCTATTTATATTTATAGAATTATCTACATTTCAAAAATTATCTAAATCTCTAGAGTTATCAATAAGACCCGAATTGTACTTATTGCTATTATTATTAGAGTCTGCTAAATATCCGCAATTATTCTTATTGTCCCAATTCGGTTGATACCTTAAATTTTCTGAACCCTGGGGTTATCGTAAAATCCAGAAATCCCCCCAGTAAACCTAAATTTGTAACTCTCAGATCATGTGGGCATGTGCCTGCGGTCAGGTCACGTTTCCGAGCTCACAACGTACAACTAATAAAAATAAGCGTATATCATAAATTTATAAACAAATTCTTTAAATGAAAATGTTCACACACTGTTGACTTTAAACTATTCCTTAACACTAAAAAAAGAATAATAATAGCTCTCCAAAACTAATAATCATTTTTAAAAGTTAAAATTCATAAGCTTTGTTAACTTTATTTACTTACAAAATATTCTAGATTTTTTACCGTGTCTATAATCTACAATAAAAAGTAAATAGAAAACCTAAGTCTAGGAAGGTTTGTGAAGCACAAGGTGGGTATTTTCATTAAAAGGGGGTTCCATGAACGTATTAAATATCAAATGCAAATTTGATGTAATGTTTGAGCAGCTTAATCGATTCTTTGTAGTATAATTGTAAAAATAAAAGAATAATAATAGTATGATAATATTTAAACAATAACTCTATTTACATTAATAGTTATAAAAAAGATAGTTTAGGACAAAAATTTATTGACTGAAATAATAAATTTGCAGTCAATTTCTACTAATCATAATTTCTTCTTTGACGTAATAAACAAGAATCACTAAACGAAACACAATTTTTCTGAATGCATGCCATCAAAAATCTGATCCCTATGTTGTAGTTCGAAAGGTCTGTCCGTATTTTGGTACAGGCCGAAGTTTAATCTGTGATGTATTCATATTTGATCCCATGAATTAGTATGCGCAGCACCATATTAGAGAGCTTTATTATGTCGGTAGGGATGGGGAAAAAATGGATTAACCAGATGTTTTAAAACATTTTAAAAAAATTTTTACAACATTGGCGCTGAGGCTAAAATTTAAAATTCATGGCTAAAATGCCGATTCACCAAGTTTCATAGAGATAAATAAATAATCACTTTATAAATTTTCATTTATTATATGATTACAAGAAATGCATAATTGCTTAATTTCTGATTTATTTAATTGTAAATATATATATTTCTAATTTACAATCCACGTCTAATTTAATTAATGTTATTTTATCTTCATTAAGCCGGAGGCTTGAGTATCGGCATTATTAATAAATTTCCAATACTTTTTGGAAGCTTTTTGCATCTATATAAGTGAACCTTTAATTGAGCGACTAAATCCTCTCCACAGTGGTTACACTTTTGGCGAGATGTAGTTCGACCAAGTTTGTCAGTTTTCGTAAGTTTGTAAAGTTCGAGTGAATTTCTTTTAATGGTGAAGCATGTTTGTTGATAATTTTATATTTTAAAAAGAGATAACAATAAAGCTGTATTTTGATGATATTCATTGCTACGTATTTTGATCACGACAGAATATATTAAATCATTTAAAAGCATTTATGATTATGTCAAAATGTATTAAATCATTTAAAAACATTTTTAAATCAAACAATCTTGTTTTTTAACATTAAGTTTTAAAACATTTTTCATTCCTATATGTCAGCAGCTTACGATCAGTGATCTAATTTTTCAGTAGTATTTTGAACATATTTGCATAGTATTTGTGTACCAAACGAACATTGATCGTACTGTGAATAAATTTCAATTTTCAAATGCCCGGAACATTAAATTTTAAATTTGTACTTATAGGTAGGGTTGTTAATGAATTGCTCCAGATAATAATAAAACATATATGTTTTATTATAGTCTGAAGAACTCCATTAACAACCCTACTTATAGGCTATCCCTTGGCAGAACTCATATGACATGATATGCGGTGTACGGAACAGTATTATTGTTGTTCGAAGGCTAATACGTAACAAAATCATTGTACGTTGTGAAATATTGCAAATGGATAAATATTTCACAGAAATGCTAATATAAAATATTCATAGTTTTCGTCGTACAAAGACTTTTTTAAATTCCCATTTCGGTTTAGAGAAGCGCGGTTTATAAAATTGTTCTCTCCGGAATAAGCCTAAACATAATTATGTCTGCAGAACAAAAGTCCGCAGAACAAAGCATTCAGTCAGTTAAAAAAGTTACTGTGATTCAAAATGAACAAGACCAAATTGACAATATTCAAGTTCAAAATGAACAAAATAATAAAATTTCTGGACAAGACAATCAACCGGCCAACCCTTCCAGTCTACCTAAATATTTAAGCAGGTTAACAGATTCATTGACTGATACTCAGTCACAAATCTATGATAAACATAATACTACTTTAGAATTGCAAATTGCTTTTTTGGAAGCGATTCTTGAAGAACGTAATAGAATGGTATATATTCGGTTAGAATACTGTATATTGATGCTTCTAATCAACAGGAATCGACTAAATTTCTTCTTTTTTTGAAATAGAAAACTATTATCGATCTAATTGTTACTCTAGCAAGTACACTCGTCACCATTGTCATCAATATTATCGTTGGCATCACAAAAACTGATGACCCACTTATATTGTTGCTTTTGAATTGCATCATCTTCGCAATGCAAGCTTTTACTATAGTAATAGCGGTAGCAAGTGGTTCATTTTTTAATAACAGAAGATACAAAGACGTAATATTTATTTTCATTCCTATGTTTATTAGCATAGGGTTAGCAGTAGGTTTAGCATTCATTATTCCACCAGTAATAACAGCGTCTTGGGTACCAATTGGTGTATTGTTTTCTAATGTTATTCTTCAAAAACGTGAATCATTATCTGCAAATAACGAAAAAAAAGAATAGCTACTATTTTTAACTCTATGATTTATTTATATTAGTTACTAAGGGTTAAAGAAAATCAAATTCATCAATCAATGCCTGTATTATTTTTACAATCTCAATAAAGCATTATAAATATCAGAAATTTTTAAGTTTTCGATTTTAAGGTTCCAAAATATTTTTATACATTTCTTGAATAAAATTTACAGTATAGATGGAAAAGTTAAATAACTTAAAATGGAATAAATATTATCGAAGTTAAATACATAAAATAGAATAAATATTATAATTAAATAAAAAAGCATGTAAAAATGAATTATTGAAAAAAAAAACATATATTTTAGGGTATAAATATTTAAATTTTTATCTGGTGAGAAAAAAAGAGAGCTTAATCATTTTTGTTTAAAAGAATAATACTAAGATTGTGAAGTGGAAGAAGTAGAGGCTCTATCATTATGTCGTTTAGCTGAAGGAAAAAAGAAACGTCGAAAGAACTACACAATACAAATTTATTTGTGAAGGATTTGATATTTGAAAGCACAAGATTTAAAATATTTAGATAGACATATACCCCCTTTTCTTTTTCTTCTAGAATCATTTTCAAAAAATTACCCGCATCCTCCTGTGAGCCAATACTATAATATAGTTCTTTCTGACGTTGGGTCAAATTGTTGCGTACTTTGACTAATTTATGAGGCAGATTATGCATGTCTGAATGATAAAGCTGTTTGTTAGAAAGCCTAGTTAAATCGTTATTTGCTATATTTCTTACCTTTCTCGTCTGACATATTTCAGATCTGATAATTTGAATAGCTATGCAACAAGCATTATATCAGCGTCTTATTTAACAAGTATGCAAATTCTTATTTAACAAGTATGCAAATAGTTATATCCCAAAGTATTCTCAATTTTTTTTCTCAAATTTAATTCATTGTAAACAAAAAGATGTGAACAAAGGAAATCCAAACAAATGGCTGAATATTATGATTTGAATATACTTTAATGGGAAACGAATTTGAAAATTTTTGTGTTTAGGCCTAGACTTATTAGAATATCGTTTTCATTTATAGTTGTATTGAGATCTAATAAGTTGTATTGATACCTAATACGTATGTTCGTGCGTGCATGTGTAATTATGTATTTATATGATGTTTGCGTAAGTAAAAAAGGCATCCAGATTTTTCATGTATATTAGATTTCGAAATTCCGTACAGCATTCTACCTTGGCAGCACTCATATCCAAATAATGAAAAAAATTTTCCGTGACATACTTAATTAGCTGACAGACAGTAATTTTGGGGTGGACAAATTTTTTGTATAACAAAACAATCTATCATGCGTGAAAATATTAGTATTGAGATCTAATAAGTTGTATTGATACCTAATACGTATGTTCGTGCGTGCATGTGTAATTATGTATTTACATGATGTTTGCGTAAGTAAAAAAGGCATCCAGATTTTTCATGTATATTAGATTTCGAAATTCCGTACAGCATTTTACCTTGGCAGCACTCATATCCAAATAATGAAAAAAATTTTCCGTGACATACAGTAATTTTGGGGTGGACAAATTTTTTGTATAACAAAACAATCTATCATGCGTGAAAATATTATGATCATCATTAATTACTTGTATGCCGAATTCAAAAAGGAAATTGCAACAATACCACTTGATAACTATTATTGTATTCCTTTTGAATTTTGGCACTCATATATAGACCTGTCTTGGCATTTAGACTGCAAATGGACTAATCAAAATAGTGTCTAGTTCTTAGCCGAATTTTTCGGAATGTTTCGGAAATTTACCCTATTTTTTGACTCATACAGGGGATCCCCAAAATTCCTGGCCAAAATACATCGGAAATATGGTTGGCCAGGAGGATCCTTTTAAAATTTAAAGGTTTTTTTGAAACTGTAAGTAAATGTCTCTCGATGAATACGCATTTAACTAATTTCATGAACGTTTTAATATTTATTTCTACAAAAATTAGAATTAGAATAAAAAAAAATGATTCATTGAATTTGGTTAGATAGTCATGGAAAGTTTAAAAAGTTTGAAAATTAAAAAAAGAAAAAAAAACCATAGTAATAACTTCTTTCTTCAACTTTAAGGCTGTTTGAAATTAAATCTTCGTTTAACGTTGTTTTTTTTAATTTTTGTAGGGGGGGGGGGGAGGGGGGAAAATTAAACAACTATTAAAATTAAACGAGGTTCAAATGAACCTAAATTAGGTTCAAGTGAACCTAAATTAGGTTCAAGTGAACCTAAATTAAGTTCAAAGAACGTCAACCAAATCTAAAGTAGGTTCAAACGAACCTAAAGTAGGTTCAAACGAACCTAAACTTAGGTTCAAATGAATCTAATATAGATTCAAATGAATCTAATATAGGTTCAAACGAACCTAATGTAGGTTCTTATAAATCTAAAGTAGGTTTAAGTGAACTTAAATTAGGTTCAATTGAACCTAAATTTGGTTTAAGTGAACTTACTTCTTAATTTGGTATAGTTTGTGGCATAGCATAGTTGGGTGATTAAAACCCTCAACGAGGGTTAATAACCCTCAATGAGGGATAATAATCCGATTAAAACCCCATACGAATTAAAAGATATATAAGGATGTAGTTTCAGTTTGTAAGAACGATTGTTAGAATAATTATTAACGATTATTGATAGTATTTAGTATTGTGTATAGTTGTTAGACGAAACCTTCTGTGCTTGATGACGAAAGACGAAACCTCGAATCCCACTGACGAAAGACGAAACCCAAAAATCAAAATGACGAAAAATGAAACCTAAAATCAAAATGACGAAACTCAAGCCAGTAAAAAAACCCGAATTGCTCCCGTTAAAAAAAAAAAAAAAAAAATCGAACTGCTCCTGCTAGGAATCACTAGTACTATTGTTAAAAAATTACTAAAAACTTGTTTTCATCGAAACTAAATTATCAATAAAAATAACA